AGTGATGTGATCGTCAGGGTATGCTTTCACATCACACTATGCCATCAGGCAGCAAACTAGGGAGAATGCTGTGTTCAGCAAGACTGTACTGCAGTCTGCATGTCCTTAACTCCTACCCACCTCTGCAGACACTGCTTGCAGTCACCTCTGTTGAATGGACATGAGGAAGCACTCAAAGAAGAAAAGACAGTTGCCTTTTCCATAACTGCTGTACTTTGAGATGTGTTGCTCACGTCTATTCAGCTTCCCACCCTCCTCCCCTCTGTAGGAATTCCTGCAAGAAGGAACTGAAAAGGGAGGGTACGGGGAGTGTCCTATATTGTGTGTAATATGCACACCACTCCAGGGGATGCTGAGACTCTGCCGCCTATGGGTACTGCTGAGGGAAAAACTTCTAGTACCAAAGTGTGTGGCAGGTGCGCACACACCTATGTTGAATGGACATGAGCAGCATATCTCCAAAAACACCAGTTATGGAACAAGTAACTGTCTTTTTTTACAAACATTAACTCTCACAGTAACACATTTGGGAGTTAGGTAGGTGTAATTATGCCCATTTCACTGATGGATAAATTGAAGCTCCATGAGGTTTAATGACTTGCAGATAAACAATGCCAACAGCATCAGAAATTGCCTTTCTGTAAGGCCTGGCCTGCATCTAAAACTTAGGTTGATCTAGCTATGTTCCTTCAGGAATGCGAAAGTCACATAACAAAGGCATAGTTAAACTGACCTAAACCCCGGTATAGACCTCAGTAGGTTTGTGTGGCAGTTCTTCCACTGATCTAGTCACTGCCTCTCAAAGGGATAGATTTACTATAGCAACGGAAAACTCCTTCTGTTGCAGTAAGCATATGTCTACTGAGGATGTAATAGGATTACCATTTACACAGTTAACCAATAAGCCTTGGTTTATTGGTTACTGTCAACATTTACATGTAAGCTGCTTCTCTGCTCCCAGGGATCTGGCTGCCCCTAGCCCCTCACCACTGGCTCTATCATTGGGTGCAGGGCAGAAGCTGGCACGTACTGGGAGCCGGGAGCTTTTAAGCCAGTTCCCAGCATGCACCGACTCCCAGGGAGCCAGCTGCCACTCTGTGCTGTGAGTGCATGAACCGTGTAACAGTTGAAATTTTCAGTGGCTACACAGTTACCCAATTACCCGCTTTTTAACATCCCTAATGTCTACACTGCAGTGCTACAGTGATGCTGTGCCCCTCGTTATGTCTACGCTACGCATACTAAACTAACAATGAGTTTATGCTAACCATGAGACAATATTCCATAGCAGTTTAGGTGCTTACTTTTGAATATTGTGTGTCTATAGATTAAAATATAAAATCTTTTAAACCCTCTATATACAACTGTTATTCTTCATTATAAGTGTGTTATGCCAATTCCTCCATGTGTGCTACACATAGCTATCTCAATCCCTATTGTGCTTCCCTTGATAAGTAACTGAAAATCATCTGTGCATATTAATTACTGTACTCTTAATTGAAGGTTGGACTAGAGAAATTATTCTAACATTTTAATTACAATGACACATTTCCATTTAAAAAAATGTGACTGATACATGGGCTCATTTAACTCATCTTTGATAATAATTAGTTCTAAACGTTTTTTTGGACAGTCTGGAAAATAGCAGTGTAGTGAGGGTTGAAGTAAATGGTAGGTAGATATGTTTTATTTTTTTAAGGGGGGGAAGTGGGGTAATGCTTCTAAATTTATCACCATTACAGGATTCTCATAAATGACTCATCCTGCAATGACATGAGATATCTATGGTTGAATGGTACTAGTAGAAATATAATCTTACTGATCTTGTGTATGAAAAAAATTACTTGGTAACATGTTTCAATGTAAATGGAAAGATACAAGATTGGAAATGTAAATTTGTTATGTTGCATGTGGAAAGTGTGGGTCCCTTCCCCCCATGTAACCAGCAGGGGTCACTAAAATACTACTCTGGTTATCGTTCCTGCTCTGTCAGTGTAAATTTGTTTTTGCAGTTGCCCTACAGAGACAAATTATTTCACTTCAGCGGGAGAAAACATCTTGTATTTAAGAGACAGACTCATTATTTTCCCCCTTATTGTCAATAGTTTTCTATTGGTTTGTATGAAGTCCTTTGCTTAAAATAAAACTGCTTTTTATTCTAAAGGTATTTATTATGTATGAATTTAGTATTGGTGAAAGGAGACAGATTGACAGCCCTAGAGACTAAAATCCTCTGATTATCCTGGGCCAGGCAAATAGAATTGGCAGCATCAGTTGATACTTATCCATATGTGTTCTAGAAGGACCATCTCTAGGGTCTGAGAGAAGGGAGTTCTCAATTGTTAATCCTTGTGCATCAAAGGATCCAACTCGTGACTTATGATTACTTATGACTACTGTCCACTAGTAATTGGTCTGACATTACCATCTTACTGCATCTAGGCTACTGAACCTCTGTTTGATATGACACAGCTTAAATTTGGAGGAGAATTCTAGTGTAGTAATCACTCTAATATAAGGACCTGTGTCTGAGTGGTTGGTCCATATCTGCAAAAACAACAAGCATCCTGTGGCACCTTACAGACTAATAGATACAAGGAACTAACTACTAAAAACACAGGTTTTCAAAATGTCTGAATAATAAATATGACTATTAGTCACACACAAATGGCCGTCTGAACAATTTGGAGTTCCAGCTTTTCTGTTGGCAAGCATTGCGAATCAGAATTGTCAGCAAAGCACTCCAGTTCTTTCCAGTGCGAAAGCTGATCTTTTCAGCGGTACTTGGCATCGATTTGGACACCTGCTAAGATGTATCATGAATTTGGCATCCCCTGCTGGGAAGTATCACACTCCCATTCATTGAACTGAGTTTCTGAACCAGTGACAGGGATTTCTAAAGGCTATATTGCAACATGCTTCTAAAAATAGACATGACATCACTAACTGCTGCTATAGTGGGGCCAAGAGGGAGAAAAATCTGGAATTTCATGGAGAGTCCCAGTGCAGGGGAATCCCCAAGCACCTTGGAAGGATTAGATGTCCCCTAGGGTAAGAAGCATATAAAGAGGATGAGGACACTGCTGTGCTTTGGCAGTTCTCTACCGCTGGAGCTATGGGTGTAAAAACCTGTAATAAGTGAGGGCCTGGACTAGCCACTAGCTGGCCTCAGTCTAATGATACGAGACACAAAGATGTTACTTATCCCCTCAATATTTCCTGGGCATGCATTGGAACAGCTAAGCACACGCCCATTTTTTTTTTTTTAAGTAAATACCTATTTAGTTCTCTACAGTATTCTAAATTCTAATAAACCACATGAATTAGTCTTCTCAGAGAACTAAAACGTTGTGAGTTAAAGATGAAGAGCTTGGTAGTAGGGATCTGAATGTTTAACCAGTAAACCTTAACCCCATTAAGGGTAAGGCTAACTTGTGGGGGTTGAAGCAGCTCCCCCCCCCCGGCCAAAGGCAGGGGGCTGTTCTAGCCCTATGGGGGGCCTGCCACAGACAGGGGCTGCTTCATCTGGGGTGCACTGGTCTGACACAGTCTAGCAGCAGGTAGGGTGAAGCAGCCCTCCTCCCCTCTCTTTAATCAGTTAACTAGTTAAATAATATGCTTAACCAATTAAATGGGATTTTACATTTCTACATGGTGGTTCCCCTGGGCCATCCTGTCCCTAATGCTGTTGCAATTTAATGTGTCCTAATGTCGATTAAAAAAATAATGAAGTGCTAAGTTCCTTGTATATATTTGAGTGGACAATGAAATTGGCCATCTTTTTTTCCCCTTAGAGTTCCCACAAGGGAACCTTGCGGAAGTGTTTATTTGATTGAGGCTTGAATATAGCTTCTGTTTACCACAAAGGTCATCCAAACCCTACAGCAGCTCTTTTTTTTTCTTTCCCCCCAATCCATTTTCAAGTAATCACAATGAAAGAAATAAGACAAAGATGTGCAAGTCACATACACAAATAGAAATCATAGGTGTCAAACTAATTTTTCTGGTGTTTAAGTGCGTCAGAGAGCAAAAGTGGAAATTAAAATTAGACATATAATGTCACTTTATTTACTGTGCTGAGGAAAAGTACATTTTAATTGAAGTACAGAACCTACAAACCTGATACATAAATGTACTTTTTGTTTCTTCAGTGCTGTTTAAGGAAAATCATATTGTATGTACTTTAAAGCCCAAGCATTCTGGATCTTCTCTATGTTTCCCACTGTCATCTTATTTAATGGCAGGCATCCAGTCATTATTCATCTGACAGAACAATGCAGGCTCATAGGCTTGTTATCATGTAGTAGCAGGCATGTAAGTGCTTAAAAGAGAGGAAAACATAATATAACATGGTCTCATCTGTAAACCTGTATAGTCCACCCCACCCCAGCTGAATATTTTTCATTTCTTAAAAATGTATTTATATGTATTTGTAGATCTGTAATGTAAAGATCTGTAATTTTATATATTTGTAGATCTGTCCATGACAGGAGACAGCTCCATGTTTAATTATTTGCTATAAATTCAAAATAACACTTGTTTATATAATATTATATATCATTTGCTTATGTACATAAACACACACACACAACATTGTCTTATATGTAATTTTAAGACAATGCTCCTTGTTACTAGTGTTATATTAAGATACTTACATCACCATTTTCACCAGTGGCTAGCAGTTGCTGCCAAAGGCTGGACATAAGGATTTCAGAGTTACCTTCTTGACATTATGAGCTAAGATAAGTCACTTCAGTATTCTGTCTGTCTGTCAATACTCACCACAAACATGGGTGGATAATGACATTAACACAATAAGAAAAGCAGCAATTTTTATCCAGAAGTTTTTAAGTACAATATTATTTACTGCATTTTAATTATCCTTACAATACTGGAAAACTGGTAGCCAGATGCATGCTTCAAAGGACAATTCATTATGTCTCCATTTTACCAAGGGTTAAGTAGTTCTACTGTATTTTAAATCTTGTCTTGTTTTGCAGGTGAAACTGTAAATGCAGGAGATGCATTATGTGAAATTGAAACAGACAAAGCAGTGGTAACTATGGAGTCCAGTGATGATGGCATATTGGCTAAAATCATGGTAGGTTTCACTGTCTTTAGCAAATTGAGGTGTTTTGTCATGGGGTGATGTCATATCTCATGTTAGTTCAAAATTACTTTCATATTAACTTTACTCTTTATTTCTGGTCAACTGATTTTAAGAATAATACACCAACACATTCTTAGGGAATCACTTTTATATTCGTAAATGTAAAAGTGCTGCACTATTAGTTATAGCTAAAAATTACACTTTTATCTGAGGATAACTTAAGGTTTATACGTTTTGCGGCCTATAACTTATTTCCATTAAATATTAAAATGTTAACTAATGTTAGTTAATTAGAATTTAGAACATAAACATAAGAACGGCCATACTGGCTCAGACCAAAGGTCCACCTAGCCCAGTATCCTGTCTGCTGACAGTGGCCAATACCACATGCCCCAGAGGGAGGGATCACAACAACAGGTAATCCTCACGTGATCCCTCCCCTGTCACCCACCTCCAGAGAAACAGAGGCTAGGGATACCATTCCTACCTATGCTGGGTAATAGCCATTGATGGACCTAACCTCCATGAATCTATCTAGCTCTTTTTTGAACCCTGTTAAAGTTTTAGCCTTCACAGCATCCCCTGGCAAGGAGTTCCACAGGTTGACTGTGTGCTGAGTGAATAAACATTTCCTTTTGCTTGTTTTAAACCTGCTGCCTATTAATTTCATTTGGTGACCCCTAGTTCTTTTATTGTGGGAATAAGTAAATAACTTTTCCTTATTCACTTTTCCCATACCAGTCATGATTTTATAGGCCTCTATCGTATCCCCCCTTAGTCTCCTCTTTTCTAATCTGAAAAGTCTAAGTCTTTTTAATCTCTCTTCATATGGGACCCATTCCAAACCCCTAATCATCTCTGTTGCCCTTTTCTGAACCTGTTCCAATGCCAATATATCTTTTTTGAGATGAGGTGACCACATCTGTACATAGTATTCAAGATGTGGGCATACCATGGATTTATACAGGGGCAGTAAGATATTCTGTGTCTTATTTTCTCTCCCTTTCTTAATTCCTAGCATCCTATTTGCCTTTTTGACTCCTAACATTCTATTTGCTTTTTTGACTGCCGCTGCAGTGAATGTTTTCAGAGAACTATCCACAATGACTCCAAGATCTCTCTCTTGAGTAGTTGTAGCCAAATGAGTCCCCATCATATATGCATTACTTTACATTTATCACCATTAAATTTCATTTACCATTTTGTTGCCCAATCATTTAGTTTGGTGAGATCTTTTTGAAGCTCTTCACAGTCTGCTTTGGTCTTAACTATTTTGAGCAGTTTAGTATCATCTGCAAATTTTGCCACCTCACTGTTTACCCCTTTCTCTAGATCATTTATAAATAAGTTGAATAGGATGGGTCCCAGGACAGACCCTTGGGAAACCCCACTAGTTACCTCTCTCCACTCAGAAAACTGACTATATATTCATACCCTTTTTTTCCTGTCTTTGAACCAGTTATCAATCCATGATAGGATTTACCTCTTGAACCAGATCCTGCTCACCATTTAGGACTAACCTCCATGAAATTATCTAGCTTCTCTTTAAACTCTGTTATAGTCCTAGCCTTCACAGCCTCCTCTGGCAAGGAGTTCCACAGGTTGACTACATGGTGTGTGAAGAACTTTCTTTTGTTAGTTTTAAGCCTGCTACCCATTCATTTCATTTGGTGTCCTCTAGTTCTTCTGTTATGGGAACTAATAAATAACTTTTCTTTATTTGCCCTCTCCACACCACTCATGCTTTTATATACCTCTATCATATCCCCCCTCAGTCTCCTCTTTTCTAAACTGAAAAGTCCAAGTCGTTTTAACCTCTCTTCATATGGGACCCGTTCCAAACCCCTAATCATTTTAGTTGCCCTTTTCTGAACCCTTTCCAAGGCCAAAATATCTTTTTTGAGGTGAGGAGACCACGTCTGTTCAAAGTATTCAAGATGTGGGCATCCCATAGTTTTATACAGGGGCAGTAAGATATTCTGTGTCTTATTTTCTCTCCCTTTCTTAATTCCTAGCATCCTATTTGCCTTTTTGACTCCTAACATTCTATTTGCTTTTTTGACTGCCGCTGCAGTGAATGTTTTCAGAGAACTATCCACAATGACTCCAAGATCTCTCTCTTGAGTAGTTGTAGCCAAATGAGTCCCCATCATATATGCATTACTTTACATTTATCACCATTAAATTTCATTTACCATTTTGTTGCCCAATCATTTAGTTTGGTGAGATCTTTTTGAAGCTCTTCACAGTCTGCTTTGGTCTTAACTATTTTGAGCAGTTTAGTATCATCTGCAAATTTTGCCACCTCACTGTTTACCCCTTTCTCTAGATCATTTATAAATAAGTTGAATAGGATGGGTCCCAGGACAGACCCTTGGGAAACCCCACTAGTTACCTCTCTCCACTCAGAAAACTGACTATATATTCATACCCTTTTTTTCCTGTCTTTGAACCAGTTATCAATCCATGATAGGATTTACCTCTTGAACCAGATCCTGCTCACCATTTAGGACTAACCTCCATGAAATTATCTAGCTTCTCTTTAAACTCTGTTATAGTCCTAGCCTTCACAGCCTCCTCTGGCAAGGAGTTCCACAGGTTGACTACATGGTGTGTGAAGAACTTTCTTTTGTTAGTTTTAAGCCTGCTACCCATTCATTTCATTTGGTGTCCTCTAGTTCTTCTGTTATGGGAACTAATAAATAACTTTTCTTTATTTGCCCTCTCCACACCACTCATGCTTTTATATACCTCTATCATATCCCCCCTCAGTCTCCTCTTTTCTAAACTGAAAAGTCCAAGTCGTTTTAACCTCTCTTCATATGGGACCCGTTCCAAACCCCTAATCATTTTAGTTGCCCTTTTCTGAACCCTTTCCAAGGCCAAAATATCTTTTTTGAGGTGAGGAGACCACATCTTAAATGCCACAGTGTTGGGCTGCTGAGGTGTTTTTCCCATCACAGAGATGTTAAATTTTATTATATTATGGTTACTATTTCCAAGCGGTCCAGTTATATTTACCTCTTGACCCAGATCCTGCTCACCATTTAGGACTAAATCAAGAATAGCCTCTCTACTTGTGGGTTCCAGAACCAGCTGCTCCAAGAAGCAGTCATTTAAAGTATCAAGAAATTTTATCTCTACATCCTCTCCAGAGGTGACGTGTACCTAGTCAGTATGGGGATAGTTGAAATCCCCCACTATGAGAGTTTTTTAATTTAATTTTAATAGCCTCTTTAATCTCCCTTAGCATTTTATAGTTACTAGCACTGTCCTGATAACGTGGTCAATAACATATCCCTACTGCTATATTCTTATTATTGGAGCATGGAGTAACTATCCATGGAGATTCTATGAAATATTTTGGCTCATTTATGATATTTACTTCATTTGATTCTACATTTTCTTTCATGTATAGGGCCACTTCTCCACCAGAACGACCTGTTCTGTCCTGCCGATATATTTTGTATCCTTGTATGACTGTGTCCCATTGATTGTCCTCATTCCAAACTTCTGTCATGTATATCATATCAATATCCTTGTTTAAAACTGGGCACTCGAGTTCATCCATTTTACTATTTAGACGTGTAGCATTTGTGTATAAGTGCTTTAATCATTTGTCAATATTTATCTTTCTGCCATTTCTTGATGAGTTAGATTCTTTTTCATTTGATCGTGTCTCATCTGATGTGACCCACACTTCCATCTTCTCCTCTTGACTAGAACATAGAGCACCTCTATTAATAGAACCTCCCCTAATAGATGTCTCTGTCCAAACCATGTGCTCCTCCACACCTGTCAGTTTTCCCTCAGCCCTTAGTTTAAAAACTGTTCTACAACCTTTTTAATGTTAAGTGCAAATAATGCCTAATTATTTTTTCACTGTCTACCTGATGAAGCTTTCAATATTACTGTGGGAGACAAGATATTGGACTAGATGGTTCATGGGTCTGATCCGGTACAGCAATTCCTATATATTTAAAATCTATTTTTTTTAAAAGAAAATCTATACAATTGTAACAAAAAAGGGGGAACACTTCAATAACCAAAGGTAGGGAATAATTGGAATTAAACTAGTGTCACCCCAATTGTTCTGCCTGTTTGGGGAAGGAGTGGGGAAAGGATATCCTTTTAGTATATGTGTTGTCTTTTTAGTCCCCTGTTGTGCAGTTTGCAACAATAGGGCTTGAGCAGGTTTGGGAGCCTTCCCATGCTGATTAGATTGCCAGGTGGATTTTAAACAATTTGATGCAGAAATATATCATCTTGTGTCCATGCAGCATCTAGGACAATGGGCTCCAGATTCTCACTGCAGCCTGTAAATGCTGCTAAAAAATAAAGAATTAATAATAGCAATCACATTTTCTATTTTACTTAATTACAGGCTTTATATAATGAAGATCACATTCTGGTTTTGCACTTTTAGAAGTTCAGCTTTTTCCCTTTTTTATAAATTTTCAGGACAATGATCCTAATTACACCATCATCTCTGATATTTATTAATTTCCTGGTGGAACAGGGTTGCATATTTTCTCTCTTCCCATCTTCCACTAGCTCTGTAGTACAGGCTGAACCTCTCTAGTCCAGCATCCTTGGGTCCTGACTGTTTCTGAACCAGAGAATTTTCCAGATTACAGAAGGTCCGTATTGTCTAGCAGCATTACCAAGGCTTCCACTGCTTACTGGACTGTTGGAGGACATTTAGGGGCAAATTAGAGCTTAGTAAGAGAACAGAACACAAAGAGCTAGGATTGGTGGCTGTAAACAAACTTCATGGGACCATGGGAAACTTTGCCACACCCATGAAAAGTAGACATTCAGCTAACTAAAATCATTTCAGAGAGCGTTCGGGACTTGAGAGGTTCAGCCTATGTTAAACTGAAGATTATGAACTTTTTAGGCAATGACCACGTTCTGCTGAACTAGCAGAATGGGGCCTTGATCATGACTGGGTCCTTCTGTAATATAATTAGTTTAGTTTGGAAAAGAGA